CCCACTAATTATGCAAACGACCTAAAATTTTTTATACATTTTTTTTTGTAATTTGGAATCAATCTAAGGGGTTTCCCGAATGAAAATACGAAAAAAAAAAATAACGGTCACACTAGTGCACACATATTATGTCTTGTTCTTATCATTTAGTTCCTGTTTTTGACCTGCCATTCTATCCATCATTTTGTGCTTTTTTTACTTTTTTCGTTTAAATTAACCACGGTTACAACTTTTTGGGTGATACAAAAAAATAGGGGCTGTTTAGGCCTTCAGCCTAAATATTACTTATTTCCGCACCACCCTAATGCCAGCATATGTACGTGCATAAGTGTCTGTGTAAACATATAATATATATTATATGTTCATGTGCATACACAGATACATGCACGCGCACATGGGGTAGTATGCGCGGTTAATTTTAATATCCCGCCGGATAATGAACTCTCGTCAAGTTTCCCCTTAACGTCAGTTATTGTCCGGCGGTCCGATTTAAGGTCCCGTAAACTTTTCTAAGCACTTCGGTTCAGAAGATCAACGCGAGCAGACCAGCTACCAAGCCACTCCCGTCCAAAGGTATTCAAATATTGTATTATTCCACATTTATATATATATATCTGTACGGAAATAAGTCGACTCTTGATTGAATTCACCATTAACATCAAAATATCTTGGTTCTCTTTATTTCTTTCTATCTTTTTTGCACGCGTAATTCCCAATCGCCCCCGTGTAAACATTTGGTCCATTCGGAGCCGTCCGACCTAACTAACCATTAAACATTGCAAGCACCATTTTTTGGGACCGTGCGATAATTGGAATACCAGCGAAATAAGAGAAATACAGTCCACCGTCTTTTTCAAAGCGAGTTTGCCATAACCAAATTGGGTCTGCCATAACAACGAATTATACCAGGACACCACGTCTGCGTCACAAATTTAAAAGTTTTTCGTCACCAACCAACACTTTTCCAGCTTTCAACTTCTCATATACCTCCACGACTCATTATTGAAACCAACCAGTCGCAAGGTACGTGGTTATATTCAGTGCACTTTATCAATATAGACATATTTTTATAAAAAAAAAAAATATCGTTTAATTTGCGTCAAAGCTCAAATATAAAACTACGCGAGTGCAAAGATAGCCATATAGCAGTGACTTTGTGAAAGCATCAACTTCGGGTTATCATATGCAAGTGATTCTCCACATTCGAGTGTCAACAGCTAGTGTTGGCTTAAAGTGTACACACACACACACGACAGTGAAAAGTGTTATATCCATTTTAAATTTAGTTGCAACATCAGTTTTTTTTATGATTTCCGACTTTCTTGCTATCGTCATTAGATTAAATTCACTTTTTATGTTAGTTTCACAGAAGTAGTCAATTTCTTGCACTAACCTCTTTTCACGATTCACTTGTCATTGGTTTGTGAACTCATAACCTCACTTCTGCAGTCTGCATGTTAATTAGCTTTGCAATTCAAAGTATTCACCAGAGTTTTTTATCGCAACTAGCACTTAATTCACGTTATTCACTTTCACAAAGTCACTTTGTTGCATCTTGGCACACATTTGTTGTTTGTTGCTTTTTGATTTGCACACATTTTATTGTTTTATAAGGACGCTGCTGGTCCCTCGAAATACATATATATATACAAGTATATATCTGCACAGTTGGGAGGCGAGTTTTATTTGCATACACGTATCAAAGTTACATATATCCATAAACCTTTGCTGAAAAAAATAATAATAATAATAATAAAGAATTGGAAAAATTACGAATATTTTCATTGTGGATACAACAGGTTCGAATAATCTGCTACATATTTGCCTTTAGCATTATCAAATCTTCGAAAAGATTTTTAAATTTTTAACGAGCTCCTGTTTTTTTCTGTTGGTTGTAAACCCATCTTCAACCTCACAATGGATTCATTCATGAGCTTAGCGGAAGAAGTGACAGAATTCGGGTCCGACTTTCTTGCTTCGTCAATATCAGAGCAAAATAAGCATGTCCTTGCGATTCAGCAAGAAGAACTCAGAGCTCTGTGGGAGAAAACAAAACTAGCTTACGATGCCCTCAACACTTCTGAAGAATTTTCACAAGAAGATAAGAGTACAAACAGAAAAATAAATAGAGGCGCGTTTGCTAGTTATGTAAATTGCATGTCGTCTTTGGCTGCTCAGGCTGAGAAACTAGCAAAAGAAGAACGGGATGTAGAACAGAAGCCTTTGCGAAAACACAATATTCACCTTCCACCGTGTGATACCGATGTTTTCAAAGGCGATTATCTGTATTGGCCAACATTTCGAGATATGTTCACGGCCATTTACATCTCGAATCAGGAGCTTACTCCAGTTGAGAAGCTATATTACCTCAACCAAAAAACCATAGGGGAAGCCAAAGACATTGTGAATAAGTGCCTTATGACTAATGAAGGTTTCGCCACAGCGTGGAACAATTTGTGTGAGCGATACGAAAATAAGCGTATCCTCGTTAATACACAATTCAAAATTCTGTTTAATCTTAATTCCGTTGATAGTGAGTGTGGTAGCTCTATAAAAAGATTGCAGCGCGATATTAACAATTGCTTGTCTTCCCTACAAAGTCATCAAATTGACATTTCAAATTGGGACGCAATTATTGTGTATCTTTGCTCTACTAAATTGCCTGACAGTACTTTGGCTCCATGGGAGCAAACTATAGACCACACAGGCGCCTTACCGAAGTGGGAAGATATGGACAAGTTCCTATCTAACAGGTTTCAAACCCTGGAAACCCTGACAGGCTTAAAGGATACAAAAGCGGTTAAAGCGCCAAAGCGGCAAAACACCAAAAACCCTTCAGAAGACCAAACCAAAAGACTTGGTGTATTCCAAGCAAGCGTGACCAAGTTCACTTGTACAATGTGCCAAACGAATGAGCACAAACTACGCCGCTGTTCCAAATTTTTGAAGCTTACGCCTGATGAGAGGTTTAATTTCTTAAAGAGCAACAACAGTTGCCTGAATTGTTTGAGTGCTGCACACACCGTGACAAGTTGCACAAGCCCCTTTAATTGCAGCACTTGCCAGTCGCGACATCACTCGCTCCTGCACATTCAGACAAATGAGCAAAAGGCAACACCGGCTCGCACGCCGACTGGACCTGTCAATGACAATGCATCATCCTCCCAACAGGCTCAAGCAAAGCGCAGCTTTAATAATAGAACTCATAACAATAAAAGCAAAAACGTTAAGTCTTGTTATGCTAACACGAATTCAGGTGTGCTCCTAGGAACAGCTCGCGTAAATATACGTCTAAATGGCACAAATTTTTCTGCTCGAGCATTTATTGATTCTGGTTCTGAGTGCTCGTTCATAACAGAACGAATCAAACGCAGAATCAACCTGCCAGCTAAGAGAATGCATGCCCAAGTCTCGGGCATTACGAATGCAACCTCTGCGCAGGTTAAAGAGGCATGCAGCATAGAACTTCGATCCCCAGTTGATCCATTGTTCAGCCTGCACGCAACGGTGCTCGTCCTAACAAAACTAACTGGAAATCGACCATCCTGTCATAGCAGCGCCATGACTATGCAGGCATTTCCAGGTCTTGTTCTAGCTGATAAACGGTTCTACGTTAATGAAGAAAGAGACCTCGTACTTGGCGGAGATATTTATCCCCAAATTATTTTATGCGGCCTAAAGAAAAATGTACTCAGTACACTTCTCGCCCAAGAAACCGTGTTCGGTTGGATATTAACCGGTTGCACAGATGCACCCAATCCAACCAACAATATAGTTTCGCATCACAGTGAAATTGCCTTGGACAAACAACTTACTGCATTCTGGGAACTAGAAGACATATCAAAAACCTAAAACTTGAACGAAGACGACAAATACTGTGATGAGCTTTATCGGAAGACAACTCGTAGACGAGAAGACGGAAAATACGTAGTCTCGCTACTATTTCGGCAGGAATTTCCCGCAAACATCTGCCTAGGCCCTTCTCTTAAAAAAGCATGCTCTCAGTTCTTCCGGAATGAGACACGGCTTGCAAAGGACACCATCCTACAAAAAGAGTATAATAGGGTACCAGCTGAATATGAATCACTAGGACACATGTCCAGAATAAATGATAGTATTTCAGCAGACTCTTCCGATAACTACTTTTTGCCTCACCACGCTGTCATAAAGGCAGAAAGTACTTCCACCAAAGTTCGAGTCGTCTTTAATGCCTCTAGTCCAACGGCTAATGGCATAGGTCTGAACGATGTACTTCTCCCATGTCCAGTTCTCCAAGCAGATCTTCCGATCCTTATACTCCGCTGGAGGTTATACAGATATGTTTTTAATAGTGACATCGAGAAGATGTACCGACAAATTTGGGTGGATAGATAGATAGATAATTAATGGAGGCATGCACTGCGACCAGCAGGTCTATTGTGCCCTCAACCATTTACAGTACCTCATCTAATCCTAGAGAGCCCAAAAATTTGAGGAGATCCCCAGGGATTAGCGACTGTATTGCTTCGTTACTTGGCCAGTAGTGGCCCAGGTACCTCTCCCGTCTTCTCGCGACCGCCACGCATTCGCTAAGCAGGTGCACGGGAGTCTCCTCGGTCACGTCGCAGAAACGACATAGGTCGTTGGACCAAATCCCTAGCTTGTGCAGATGGCCTCTCAGTCTGCAGTGACCCGTCAGAAAACCTGTTATGATCCTTAGTTTTCCCTTGGATAGATTAATAACTGCCCTGTACCTCGTGAGGTTGTAGCCTCCCAGTAGTTGTTTTGCTTGACGTAAACCTGTAGTGTTGCGCCAGTGTTGATTCCTTTGTGTGTTCCTTTCTTTCCTGAGCTCTTCCTTGATTGTACTGGGTCCAATCGCTAGGAAGGGCTCAGGCCCTATAGGCGACGAGGCGGCCGCCAGTCTAGCAAGTCAGTCCGCTTCTTCGTTGCCCGCAACTCCTATGTGTCCTGGTACCCAAGTTAATTGGATTTTGTTGTGCACTGCCAGGCTGTTGAGCCTATCTATGCACTCAAGAACCAAGGATGACTTGACCTCAAATGCTGAGAGGGCCTTGAGTGCCGCCTGGCTGTCGCTCAATATTAAGATTCTCTCATTACGGTAATTCCTCCGTAGGTTAATCTCTGCACACAGACTGATGGCATAGACCTCCGCCTGGAAGATACTCGGGTACGCCCCCATAGGTACCGAGAGCTGTAGCCTCGGCCCGTAGACGCCAGCCCCAATGCCTTCCGGAGTCTTCGAGCCGTCTGTGTACCATTGCAACGAGCTCGATTGGATCAGCCTCTCCATGAGAGAGGAGCTCCAGGTCGCCTTGGTGCAAAGCTCTATTTTGAAATTCCTGTCAAAGTTAACCACCTTAGGCCTGTCGTCTCTGGGGAGTAAAGCTAGCGGAAATTGGGAGCCTAGCTTGTCTCTGTTCCTTAATGATATAGTTCTGCCCCTGCCAAAGCCTTCCCTCGCGAAATTTAGTAGAGTTCGCTTTGCAGCCTGTTCTATGGTAAGGTGCAGCGGCTCGAGCTCGAGAATCACCTCCAGCGCTGCCGTCGGACATGTGCGCATTGCCCCCGTGATGCATACACATGCCAGACGTTGAAGCTTGGTGAGGGATTGCCTCACCGTGGTGAGGGTGGTTCTCGAGGCCCAAGCCACTGCTCCATAGGTGACTATTGGTCTAACTATCATGGTATACATCCATCTCAGAATCCTGGGACTGCAGCCCCAGGTCTTTCCTGCCAGGCGTTTGCATACCATTAGTGCCCTCGTAGCTTTGGAAGTGACCGCGTCAACATGTGCCTTCCACAGAAGTTTAGAATCCAGGGTTAGTCCTAGATATTTGACTTCGGTGGCGACGTTGATGGCGACCCCATTCAAATAAATGTTCCTCATGCCTGGAAGCGTTCTTCTTCTAGTGAAAGGGACAATAACCGTTTTAGAGGGGTTGATGCTGAGGCCCATGTCCGCGCACCAGCCTCTTGCCAAGTTTAGTCCCCTTTGCACTATGTCACATAGAGTGCTCACGAACTTTCCTCTGGCGATAATCACGATGTCATCCGCATAGCCTTGACAGCGGATGCCATTGTCCGTGAGAATCCGTAGAAGTTCGTCCACAACTAGGCTCCACAGGGGAGGGGATAAGACTCCTCCCTGCGGGCAACCTTTCGTAGTTTTTAACTGTACCACGCTGTCCCCGATATCGGTTTCAGCGATTCTTGAATTTAGTAGCCTGGCTATCCACCTGCGGATCGTTGCCTGCACATTGCGTTTTTCGAGTGCCCGGTCGACACTGATATGAGAGGTGTTATCAAACGCCCCCTCAATGTCGATGAAGGCACAGAGTACTGTTTCCCCACACTCAAATGCATCTAGTACTTCCGTAGATAGGGTGTACAGTGCGGTGTCCGTAGACCTGCCCATTCTGTAGGCATGTTGGTCGGGGTGTAAAGGCACCTGTTTAAGGGTGCTGTTCCTGATTTCATGGTCGATCACCTTCTCCATCGCCTTAAGCAGGAAGGAGGTAAGGCTTATCGGCCTGAAGGACTTAGCTAGAGAATAATCTCTCTTACCTATCTTCGGGATAAAAATGACCCGAGCCCTTTGCCACGCCTCGGGGATGTGAGCGAGCGCTAGGCTAGCCCTCATGATGTTCACGAGGTGTGGAAGTAGGAGCTCCTTGCCCTGCATCAGCAGCACTGGACTGATGCCATCCACCCCCGGGGATTTATACCGGTCAAAGGAGTACAACGCCCAACAGACTGAACGGTGGGTAAATAGACTCCTAGTCAGCTTCCAGTCCACCGGGGACGGCCTGGTCCGTCGGCACGGTGCCTCTCCCGAAGTGGGAGTGGCATCCGGGAAATGGGCCGAAAGCAGGGCAAGTGCCCTTTCCTCTTCGTTGCCTGAGTACGTGCCATTGGCTAGCTGGATTGCTAGTCTGGTATCTGTATGGTCCCTTGCCAAGGCCTTGTGTAGCCTGGCAGCTGAAGGAGTCGATGAGATGCCCTCACAGAACTTCCTGAAACTGTCGCGTTTAGCCCTCCTGATTTCTTTACTGTAGTTAGTTAGACTTGCTGAATACTCATCCCAGCGCCCTGTGCGCTTTGCTCTATTAAATAGCTTGCGTACCTCCTTTCTGAGCACCGATAACTTCCGAGACCACCAGTTGGGCTGCGCCTTCCCTCCTGGTTTTGTCTCCGGGCAGCTTGAGTGAAAGGCATCTACAATAGCGCCATTTAACTCATTGACGGTGCTCTCAAGGCTCATGCAGTTAGTGTACCTGTTCCTGGACTTAATTCCAGTTAGGTTTGACTCTAAAGTCTCGCTGTACTTTGTCCAGTCAGTTTTCCTGGGGTTCCTGTTTGCCTGCCTAGTTATGACCTCTACTCCCAGTGCAAACTGGATAATCCTATGGTCTGACAGTGAGGGCTCCGATGAGACCCCCCACTGGGTGACCAGAGGGCTAGCCAGTCTGTTGCTAAGCGTGATGTCTAGTACCTCCTCTCTAGCCCTCGTTACAAATGTCGGTGTTTGGCCAACATTGTGGATGCTTAGTTCCTCACTTAAGATGTACTCTAGGAGACACTCACCTCTGCGGTTCGTATCCGTGCTGCCCCACTCGACATTGTGGGCATTCGCATCGCACCCTATGATGAGGTGGAGCCGTCTCTTCCTGCAGAATTCTACTAGCTGCTGTACCTCTTGCGGAGGGGCGTAGTTGCTGTCCCCCGGGAAATAAGCCGCGGCAAACACCACCTCTAGGCTTCTGCCACTTAGCGAGAGCGACGTCTGCACCGCGACCAAGTCCTGTGTTAGAAACTCTGTAATGCAAAAGTAATCAATGTTCTTCTTAAGCACCACACATGCTCTGGGCCTCTCGCAGGAGAGGTCCCAAATTACCTTGTTGTTGTTGTGGTTGAGGCCCCTAACCTGGCCTCTGTAGGTCCACGGCTCTTGGATCAGTAGAATGCCCAGGTCATCCGTGGCGAACCTGCTGGAGATGACCGCCGAAGCAGCCACCGCATGATGCAGGTTGACCTGGGCTACTGCCAAGCGACGCGTGGTCATAGTTGGGGCTCGTCGAGATCGGAGAGCTGTAATTCGCTCTCGCTTCTCCTATCGAGCTCAAGTCGCCTAAAATCGATGCCTGCTAGCAACTCCTGCGTGGATGGCACGTCTTCCGATGTCTTGGTGGTGGTGGCTGGCTCGGACGTGCTTGCTGGAGTTGGTGTCTGGGTGAGGGGTAGCTGACTGAGGGGTGGCTGTGCGCGGGGTGGCTGTTCCGCCGGTAAGGTCGAGGTTGACTGGATCGTCTGGGCAGCGGAGGAGTCGGCAGCCGCCTCGATTGGGATCTCCTGCGACTCCGACTCCTTGCTACCTGTCGCCTTTTGTCGCCACGGCCTCACCGTGACGAAACTGAACCTATAATTCAGGTTGAAGCCAGCCCTCTTGATGCTGACGTAAGATTCCTCGTCTATGCCCAGAAATAGTCTGAGCCCGTTCTCCTCTACGGAGCTGGACACTACCTTCCACGCAGAGATGTGGATGCCCTCATTCTGCGCTTTTAGTAGCCCCAACGCAAACTCCGCCGACTTGTCGGCGCTCCTTGGCAGGAACACCGTGATGTTATGCACTGGAGGGATGTCATCCCCCCTCTTCGTGCACATCTCGGGTCCCTTCCAGCCCTCAAGTGCCGGTGCTTTCTTCACCAGCCAGGTTGCTGTCCTCTCGTCCCTGCAGTCTACCAGTAGCATGCCGGATCTGAAGTACACACCACAGAACACCAGCGGGTGCGACCATCCTTTAAAGACCTCTTCCATAATGGCATCCTGGAGTCTGGTTAGGTCTTCCGAGC